GAGTCAACGAACCAATTCGTGCATCGTACTGCGGCAATAGAGAACATGACACACCTTTTCTACCTTCTTCTCCACGTGCGTGCCGTCCGGTAGGAGAACCTCAATGTAACCATCGTCATAAGTCGTGTCACGTTCCTCCATATCTCGACGTCTGTTTTCCCACGCCAGAAGGAACCGGATGATGAGCAGAATAAACATGCAGCATACATAACAGATGCCGATGACAGCCCAAGGAACAATCATTCGTTGTCAGGTGCCCGTAAGCGAGCGTGAACACGTGATCGCGTTATTTAGATGCTCCGTGCTCATTGTTCAACATCTCAAGTAAGGCTCCAACTATTTATACTATTTACACTCCCGAGGTGTAAATAAATAGTATATAGTAAATAGTTGGTATGGAGGCAGTATAAATAGTTTATATATAGTTTATATAGTTTTTTTGTCTCATCTTTTGGTGAAGTTCTACTCAACTGTGAGCAGCCTCTGTGATTGTTGAGACCTTTGAGGAACTGTGTGCATCAGCGCACACATAACAGTGAGCAGAAAACAAGCATACAAGTTTAACACTTGCACCAGAAATGACAAGAAAATCTCATGTCATACAAGAAATGACAAGAAACTCACATTCATGAGCCTATATGATGATCAACTGTCAGTGGTGGCTTCTGTCTAACACTATGGCTTTCAATTAGCTCACTGTTGCACTGTCGAATTGGCAATGTGCACTCAATAGCCTTATGTCATTATAAAACCATTTATACTATATATATACATCTATTTACTATATACAGCACTGACTGTAATTAAATAGAAATAGTAAATGGTTAAAACCATTTTAAATAGTATATAGATGGAAATGTTGGAGCCTTACTTTCACCTCGGCCTTTGCCTTTATAGCTGCAGGTATGCTCGATCTTCAAAGGGAACGTGTTCACCGTCGGAGCCACTCGGCAATGACTGGACAATTTTTAACACCCAAAATGGTTAAGTCAATGATAAATCGCCTCAGCAAAGGGTTCAGGAACCTCAAGGTGGATGCGTTGCAAGTCGGAATTGGGCAATAGTGACTCGTCAGGTGAATTCGCAGTGGCACATGTACAAAAACTGGCTGGAAGGCTGGGCACCAGCGTCGAGCAACGTGGAATAATGGGCAACAATGGAAAGAAGAAAAGGGGGATGTGACTGAGTGGCATCAAGCATTGCAGTAACGGTGGAGGTGGTTTAAGGGTGGTGGAGGCTTGAGAATCAAGACCGTCTGTCAATGCCCTGGAGCTGCCCTTCAGCCATTTCTCTCCATCTCTCCTCTTCGATACTAGACACTCGGGAATTGATGAGTG